ATATATATATATATATATATATATATATATATATATATATATAAATTAATATCTCTATGAAGAATTTTGGTGATTACCGTGGAAAAATTTTAATGTTAAGCTGTTATGTAAAAAGTCATGGAAGAATACGTGGCATTTAGTCAAGTTTATGAAAATTCTTTCTTCTAAATACAAATGTTACAAAATATATTAAATACATCGTATATATTAAGGAATAATAAATTCATATACAGAATAAATTATTAAATCAAATTATACGATGTTTCAAGCAATTAAAAAATGTTTCAAACAAAAGTTGTTGCGTTCGACATCACCTACAAAGAACAGTCAAAAAATATTTTTTTAATAATAAACAAAAATCAATGCTATTTTAATTTCACAACAAACATCACAAATTTCTTCTCATTCGCTAATCACAATCATGTATTATCTTGATATCGCCTTCAACAGTGCCGAATTAAATTAAATTAACACGACGTATAAAAGTAATGGAAATTATTATCTTTTGTAAAGTAAAAGATATTTTTGCAATCTTTACTGTTTTCAATTTACTATGTTAAGAACTGAATGCCTTAAAAATTCTAATTTTGCGTCTCAATTATTTTACGAGCATTCGATTCTCAATGACCATTCAAGGTCATTCGAAAATCATGACGCTATAAGTCACTGAATTTGTCTTGACATCAGGACTGTAAAAGAAAGAGATGTATTTTTGCCATTTCAAAAAAAAAGTCAAAGTGAGCTTGATAAAAATTGTTCAAAGTCATTTGTTGAATCAACTTTTGTTTGAAACATTCTTTGATTTAACGAACTTCTCTCTATGATAATATCGGGCCCACTGGCTGCGGGTTTTGAAATATCAATCCTTCGAATCGATTACTCGTAACGAGTAACTTGCTTTGCATCCGACGCGATGTAACGTAGCGAGTCACTGTAATGAACGCTCACCTAAGAAGGCCGGAAAGAAAATGGTACGACAAGGGGTTCATAATCGTACTCACGTTGCATTTATGCGACCTTAGAAGACGCATGAAAAACAATCGTTCACGGGTTTCAGCCTCGTTCACGAATCAGCGTGTAACAAACAAGGAAGAAGAGAATTAATCTCTCGGAAAGGTTTCGTCGTTAAACAGACGCGCCCGAGCTCACCAGGAGAGAAAGGAGAGAAACGACATCGAAGAGAGAGAGAGAGAGAGAGAGAGAGAGAGAGAAGAAAGATGTTGGTCGTTGGTAGTTGGATAATAGGTATTTGCTTTGACGATCGCTCGGAGTCGCGAGTTTGAATGGCCGGTGATTCTCGCGAGAGCGAGCTTTCACGGTATTAAAACGATCGCGCGTGTTTGCAACGGAAGGGGACGACGTTCGAAAGAAAGAAAGAGAGAGAGAGAGAAAGAGAGAAAGATCGGTTTATAAACGCACGCGGTTGTTGCCGCGTCATTCAACCGTCGACGATTCCCGCCGCGAAATACGACGATTCTTCGCCTCGGGATCGAAACTTTTTCACGCATTCTACCGCGTTAATTCCACTGCTAAGGGGTGAAACAATCGCGTGCGTTTCGCGCCGGACGTCGCGTCTTGTTTTCGGCGCTCCGCGTATCGACAGATGTGACAGGGCACGGTTGCTCGCTGTTCATGGTGAAACGCGCCGGGAAAAAAGGCGCGCGCACGATCGACAGTGGCTCGATTGAAAACTGTCTGCGTGATGGCTGAATATTTACATCGGTGGTCTTTGTTGCGTTTGAAACATGCGGTCTCGCGGAAGTTCCTCTTTTTTTTTTTTTTTTTTTTTTTTTTTTTTTAAAGATTTCCAACCTAGTTTGTTAAACGTTTATTATTCACTACCGACGCGGATGTTCGTTCTTCTTCTTTTCTCTTCGTTTGTTCTAACCCGTGGTAATGGTACCTGCATTTCATTGCGTTTCAATGCGTCATGCTAAGAAACATAGACATTTTTACTGTTACGTATCGTGACTCGTTACTCGAACGTTGAGAGAATAACCCGCTTCAAAGGAAGCACGTAACTTTTATAACAAGCTTGATTGTCGTTCAACTGGAACGCAGATGAATTAGCAGCGAAGAGGGTACCGGTACGGCTGTCAATAAATACAGTGGATGAGAAAGGCATTGGGACATCTTTTATGAGAACAAACGGCACATTAGCAAAATCTGTTTCCGCAAATGGTCCACTACGT